CGGCCCGGGCTTCTGCCGTATGAGCGGCCGTCACCCGCACTGCCATTGCGCCCTCCATGTCGCAACGCGCCGCAGGAAGATGGCGGATTTACGACCGTGTCGTCATAACAACGGGCCGCGCCGGAGCGAGGAAGACGACGCCAGGTTGGCGGGGCGGGGCCAGTTAGTTTGATGGACAGGTAGAGGGGCGGGGCTTATAACGAGAGGTGGTGGGCGGGGCTTCTTCTGGGGGCTGAGTTACAGTGGAGCGGATTGACCAGCAGCGGGCTGGGTCTGGAGGAGGGCTCTTGGGTTTGGTTTAGGAAGGAAGGGACGTAGCTGTGCTAGAGGAAAGCGGAAGGCTGGGGCGGGCCTGGAAGGGGCTGGGCTCGGTCCCGAAAGCTGCATCTGGACTTGAGAGCTGGAGTATAGGGGCGAGGTGGCCCGGTGCGCCACCTGCCAGCCTTGAGAATGTGCTATGGCCCTGGGCACCACGCGGGGACCCGAGCTCTAGAGGGCCGTATGGGGCCCTCTGACCACCACCGACCCCCCTCAGGTGTCAGAACGTCCCTCGTTGGTTGCCCAGGTCATGGAGTAAAACCGACTTTGGGGTGGCTCACGAACAGTTAGCTTCACTAGGCCTCTTATTCTTTTGTATATTTTTTTAAGTTGTGATAAGTACACATAAAATTTATCATTAGTGACATTTAGAACATTCGCAATGTTGTGCAACCATCACCATCATCTAATTTCAGAACTTTTGTCATTTTAAAAGAAAACCTGTACCCATTAGCTGTCATTCTCCATTATCCCCTTACCCCAGCCCCTGGCAACCACTTTCTGTTTCTATGGATTTACCATTTCTGGACATCCTATATAATAAAAGGGTAATATGCAAATCAACCTAACCGTGGAGCAACTGGGTCGCTATGATGTGCACTGACCACCAGGGGGCAGACGCTTAAAGCAGGAGCTTCCCCCTGGTGGTCAGTGCGCTCCCACAGGGGGAGCACCACTTAGCCACAAGTTGGGCTGATGGATGGTGAGTGCAGCAGAGGTGGCAGGAAGCCTCTCCTGCCTCCGTGGCAGCGCTAAGGTTATCCAACTGTGGACATCGCCCAAGGGCTCCGGGACTGCTAAAAGGCGCAGGCCAGACTGAGGGATCCACTCCTCCCCAGCCCCCCCACCCCCAGTGCACAAATGTTGTGCACTGGGCCTCTAGTTTTATATAAATAAAATTACACATGTGGTCTTTTGCCTCTGGCTTTTTTTTTATTATTATTATTTCTTTTATAGATCTCCAAGAATAAGGGAGAGAGAGAAACATCAATGATGAAGTGAGAATCACCAATCAGCTGCCTCCTACACACCCCCCACTGGGGATGGAGCCAGCAACCCAGGCATGTGCCCTGACCGGGAATCAAACCATGACCTCCTGGTTCATAGGTCAACACACAACCACTGAGCCACTCTGGCTGGGCAACCTCTGGCTTCTTTTGCCTAACACAATGTTTTCAAAATTCATCTGTGGTAAGCAGTAAGACAGACATGAGCAGAGCAAGGGCTAGGTACAGGCAGTCACCAGGGCAGGAAGCCCTGGGTGCCAAGCAACAAGGACCTTGCCCTCAAGGTAACCTTTCCTTCCCTAGCATATTGCTGATCATGCACTTTAGACTCTCTGACCTTCCATATCACTGGTCACAGTGTTCGGACCCTCCCTGACCTTGCCTCCCCTGGCACGTTGCTAGTCATGGGGTTGGGGGTTGGGGTGTGAACAAGGGGACTGGTGAATAGCCGTTAAGCATTAACCCCGAGGGATAACGTCTAGGCTTCAGTTGTATTTCAGCTACAGAAAAGCAACAAAACCTGGCAGCTGACCTCAGGACCAGCTGCATTGACTGATGACCCCCTGCTCTGGCACCTGCCAATCTGTGGAGACCCTGACCCTGAAACGATACACCTGGAAAGTTGATGAGTATTCTATTGGGATCCTCCCCTGGTGTTGCCCCTAAAACCCCCGCCCTTAAAAGCCCTTAGGGTGGAGGACCCAGCTTGCTCTCCCTCCCCTGAGCATACCCTCCACTTTTCCCCTCCCATGCCTCTTCCCTCTCCCCCCAAAGCATGTTACCTCCTGAGCCCATTTCTTCTGCCATTCACTTCTTCCACCTCTGTGATGTTCTAAGTAAATGTTCTCTTATAGTTTGAGTTTTGGCTCTGAATTCTTTCCTAGCCAGAACTCAAGTACCAAGGTTGCTGAACCCAGGTAGTCTGACCCCACCGGTCTAACACCTGGTGCCATTCTCGCCACATCCAGGTTGTCGTATGTATCAGTACTTGATTCCTTTTTATGGCTGAATAATTATATGGATATATCACAATTTATTTATCCATTCAGTACATTTGGGTTGTTTCCACCTTGTATGGTAAGTGGGAACCTGGGCCGCTTCCCATGTTCCAACTCTCCTTCCCACCCTATTGGAAATATAGTGAAGACCACCTGTAAGTGGACTGTGAGACCTTGGCCAGAAGAAATGCCAAAGAGAAACTGCTTCTAGATGTGAGCCAGGATTGTAAATAGCTAGTGTTTTGATCTCACATAGCTTACGGGCACATCCCTCTCCCCCTGTGTGCCCTGTTTTTCTCTGTTTTTTTGTGCTCCATAAAACCTTGTGTTGGGAAAGTCTGGGTAGCAGCAAAACAACAGCACCAGCCGGCCACTCCCAGTGCGGCCTGTCTACAGGCCAGATGGGACTTAGTGGGACAACTTCACAGGTGGCAGCCAGTGTGGTGGCAAACTTCACTGGTTGGTCGCCACTGGTACACACTTTAAGTCCTAATAAACCCCTGTCTTTCACCGTCAGTCCTCTGAGTTATTTCTTTGGAATTCACGAACAATATGCTAAGGTTTTCTGGGACCTCAGCACTTTGCATAACAAGCCCCAAAGTGGAAACAACCCAAATGTCCATCAAGTGGAGAAGAGATCAACAGGGGTATATTCTTTCAATATTCCACCTGACAACTCCGGACAAAAAGGGGCCATATGCTAACCTGACTAGCTCAGGGAAGGCCTGCATGGTGGCCTTGCAAACTCAGAGACCTAAAGTAACCACAAAAGTTACTTTGTGATAAATACACATAAAATTGTATCTATGGTAGCCTGAAATTAAAACTTTTTAGCTAAAAAGTGTGTGGTGGGTAGTCATGTCCTAGGCCAGCATCTTCCCTGACAAAGGTCAATCTTTACCCTAATTGAGCCTGTCATTGTCTTTTTGCATCTGTGATAACATATCTTTGGAATGTCCAAGTAATTTTCCTTTTTCTGGACCCCTCAAAGCACAGGCACTGCTCTGTGGAGACCAAGACCATAAAGCCCCTCATTGTTATAGAGTTTATTGTTGACTGTTAACTATCTTTACCCACCTATATGTAAAAGAAGTATGTGTCTGTCATTTTACTTTTTATCCAATCCCAGAGGTCCCGCCCCCTTCCCCGGCTTTCTCCCACCTCCCTAATCTCCCACCAGTGGATTTCATGTCACCCACATACATCTCCTCTTTTGATTGTAGTGCATAAAATAAGGTTCAAAACTGCCATTCTCCAGAGCATTATCTCAATCTGTTGAGATTTTGCTCCTGGCAATTGTTGACAGTTTGGCTCAAATAAACTCACAAAAGTTCTTCACAGGTTTGAATGTGTTTTAAGTTGACACAACTAGACAGAACCGGTTTGGCTCAGTGGATAGAGCGTCGGTCTGCGGACTGAAGGGTCCCAGGTTCGATTCCGGTTAAGGGCATGTACCTGGGTTGCGGGCACATCCCCAGTGGGAGATGTGCAAAGGGCAGCTGATCGATGTTTCTCTCTCATCGATGTTTCTAACTCTCTATCCCTCTCCCTTCCTCTCTGTAAAAAATCAATAAAATATATTTAAAAAAAAAAAGTTGACACAACTAAAGCGAAACAAAAACACTAAGAAGGAAGCATTTCACAGACATTATGTTGATCCAAAGAAGCAAGAGCCAGAAGAATACACACAGTAAGATCTTCTTTTTAAGATGGTCTAGAACAGGCGAAGGAGGCCATGACTTCATGGTGATAGTAGTCAGAAAAGAGGCTGGTGGAGGGGTCTCCGCTATTGGCTGAATAGTGATGTGAGGGAAGCTGGTGAAGTGATGGAAATATTCTGAATCTTGATCTGGGTTGTGTTTACACAGGTGTATGGGTATGTAAAAACCCCATCAAGATGCATACTTATGATTTATGCAATTTTTATACATTACACCTCAATCAAAGATAACAATAACCTAATAATAATGATGATGACCAACTAAAGACCCTAATCCCACTGCCTCGAAGTTACTGGTTCACAAAACCACTAAGACCGCAGGGAAAGCATTTTTGGAAATGACAACGCAAGGCTTGTGAGGAAGGAGTTAGTTCCGAGGTGGCTCTCGGGACTGGCCGTAATCTGTCCGCACGCTGACACTGTGTGCGAAGAATGTCCAGTGGGAAGGACAATGCCCGGCCCAGCCCAAGCGAAGGTGAAGACGTGACTGCCTCCGAAGGGGGGGCAGCACCCCACCCCTACCGCGCTCCTGCGGAGATCCCCGCCCGCACGACGGGAGAGAAGCCAGCCAATCAATAGCCTGCCCGACTGAGGGTCATTCGATGAAGGGTCTCCGTCACCTAAGCTGACCACGCGCCTCCAATGAGCGAGCTGCCCACTGAGCTGCCCAATAAGCAGCGGCCTTACGTCCGGCGCCGGCTCCTCGGCTCCGCAGCGTTTCCGCAGTCAAGGTTCCACTCCGAATACCGGTTGGCTCCCTGCCAGCCAATCACCGAAGCGCCCCTGGACTTACAGCCAATAGCTGTCCTCCTCCCTGCGCCGGGCCGTGACGGTTGGCGCTGAGCTCCGGCAACCTGAGGTAGGCAGGGGTGGATTGGCGCAGGCGGTGTCCAATGGGCGGTGCGCGTGAGGCGGGGGGGCCAATGAGCACGGCGGGGGCGGGGCGGACACTGTGGCGGGCGGCTGTGAGGAGCGGCCGGTGGCTGCCGGTGGCGGTGACGGCGGCAGGCGGCCATGGCAGAGGCGGAGGCAGGCGGCGACGACGCCCGCTGCGTGCGGCTGAACGCCGAGCGGGCCCAGGCGCTGCTGGCCGACGTGGACACGCTGCTGTTCGACTGCGACGGCGTGCTGTGGCGCGGAGAGACGGCCGTGCCTGGCGCGCCGGAGACCCTAACGGCGCTGCGGGCCCGTGGCAAACGCCTCGGCTTCATCACCAACAACAGCAGCAAGACCCGTGAGGCCTACGCCGAGAAGCTGCGGCGCCTGGGCTTCGGCGGCCCCGCGGGACCCGGCGACAGCCCTGAGGTCTTCGGCACGGCCTACTGCACCGCGCTCTACCTGCGCCAGCGCCTGACGGGCTTCTCCGGCCCCCAAAGGCCTACGTGCTGGGCCAGTGCAGCGCTGGCCGCGGAGCTGGAGGCCGTGGGCGTCGCCTGCGTGGGCGTGGGGCCGGATCCCCTGCAGGGCGACGGCCCTGGCGCCTGGCTAGACGTGCCACTCGAGCCCGATGTGCGCGCCGTCGTGGTGGGCTTCGACCCGCACTTCAGCTACATGAAGCTCACCAAGGCCGTGCGTTACTTGCAGCAGCCCAGCTGTCTGCTCGTGGGCACCAACATGGACAACCGGCTCCCCCTCGAGAACGGCCGCTTCATCGCGGGTCCGTGCGCCCCGGGGCAGGAGGTTGGAGGGCGGCGGCGGGCCCCTCCAGCCCTCTGACCTCGGGCGCTCTCCTCCCCTCCCCTCTCCGCCCCTCAGGTACCGGTTGTCTGGTCCGAGCCGTGGAGATGGCCGCTGAGCGCCAGGCTGACATTATAGGGAAGCCCAGCCGCTTCATCTTCGACTGCGTGTCCCAGGAGTACGGCATCAACCCCGAGCGCACCGTCATGGTGGGAGATCGCCTGGACACAGACATCCTCCTGGGCGTCTCCTGTGGCCTAAAGACCATCCTCACCCTCACTGGAGTCTCCTCTCTAAGAGATGTGAAGAGTAATCAGGAAAGTGACTGCATGTCTAAAAGGAAAATGGTCCCTGACTTCTATGTTGACAGCATAGCCGACCTTTTGCCTGCCCTTCAAGGTTAAAGATTTAGCGTCTTTAATCTACAGAATAAAAAAAAAAAATTGAAAACCACTTAACCAAATTAATAGGTGGGGCTTAAGCATTTGCTCAGCTAGGTGGCTTTAAAGGTTATACTTGGAGTTAAGCAAAGGCACTAGTTAACCTTGGAAGTAAAGGTTTGGGGGTGATTTTGTTACAGGTGTTTGTAATTTAAGATGCACTTTTTTTTCTTTTTTTTTTTTTTCTTTTTTTTAAGAGAGGAAAGGAGAGAAACATCAATTTGCTGTTATTTATGCATTGATTGGTTGCTTCTTGGATGTGCCCTGACTGGGGATCGAACCCACAACCTTGGCATATCAGGACAACCCTCTTACCAACTGAGCTACCTAGCCAGGGCCTAAGATGCACTTTTAAACTTGGAGGGCATTGTGGGGGTCCTGGGCCTTGGTTGCCATTGGCAAGAGCAGGCTTCACATCTGTCCAGAATTCAGATAACCTAAGGGCCTGCTGATGGGACTGAGGTAGGTCTAGGGGTGTCACATATTTTGTTGAAATTTTTATTCAGGGATCAAGTCCCCTTGTAGGGCAAAGGGGAGAAGGGACTGATTATTTTGACTATCAGGAGAAATGTACAAACCAACCCAAGGCCCCATGGGTGGGGTCATCAGCAGAGGAGCTTGCTGCTGTGTTCCAGCTCCTCACCTGCAGGGTGGGATGGAGGATGGGATGGTCCCCTGGTAGTGTCTCCCTGTCTTTGGGGTGTGGAGAGCTGTCCTCACCACCACCACTCCACATTTCCTTACAAACCACTCTGCCATATTGAGTGTTGTGTTTCAGATGCTCAGGGCTGCTGCTCCTCATACGTGGTCGTGCAGCTCTGTAAACTCACCCCAGCTAAACCACAGCTTTCTCAAATGTGCATTTAAACCCAAGTGACATGGAGTGAGCATATTGTTGGCTGAGTAGCCAGGAGGACATGGGTGCCTTTGCTGAACTTTGGCCTGCTGTGTAGGGAGCTCAGAGCAGCATTGTTATAAAAAAAATATTTTTTTAAACTTTTGAACAACTTTGTCAAGGGGTGGAATTGAATCTTAAGCATGTTAATAGCTGTGCTCTGTCTTGTAGGGCAAATCCCACTGAAGAAATCTCCAGGCCCCGCAGTGAGCAGCAGGGCTAAAGTCATATGCAGGCCAAGGAATGCCTGTTATCCAGGGTGCCCTCTGGGTGGGAGAAGAAAGAAGTGTCCCTAAGAACAGGAAAATGGTTTCTACAAAGCATCCAGCCTCTTCCTGTCCTCCCATACCTTTGGTTGTGTGGGGGTTAGATGCCAATGGTCCATGAGGCCAAATATCTTGGCTCTGAAGTCCTTGGTCAGTGGCCAGCTGGAGGACTGGCAGGGTTCACCGGCTAGCCACGGGTTCTTGGTAGGGAGCCCTGGCCTTTTCTGCCTGTTCCCTAAGTTGCTGACCTTTGGGAACAGGCCTGATAAGCAGACTTTCCAGCTGCACTTGTAGGGTAGAGCCTGGGAAGCTGTTCCTTTGGGCCGACTCCTTCCCGGTGCCTTGCTCTGCACCCAGTGGTGTCTGCCTACAACCTGTGGCTTCTCTCCTAATCCCAGAGTTACAACACTCTTTCACTCCTTTCTCTGAGTTCCCAGTAGTAAAGGGTGTCCTGAGCCTTTAGCTCCTCCCAGGCTTGGAGTGTCTGGGGGTTGGACTCTGCCAACAACAGCAGGGCAGCCGGTGCCTGTGAGGTTGGTGGTGCTGACGTTGGCTCTGCGAGGTCGGCTCAAGGTGGGTCTGGATATTGAGCAGGCCTATCAGGGCGTTGTCACCCACACCAGGAGCACACAGCAGGTGCGGCAGCCAGCGACACCTTCCTCTTCTGCGCCCCATCTCTGCCCTTATTGCACTGTGTGAACTCAAATGCACATTAAACTCTCAAACCCATGCTGACTAGCGTTCCTTGCTCTCGTCTTGACAGCAGCCTTCACACACAGGCTGCAGCTGTCTAGCCTTCATGTGGGTATAGGGCGGGCGGGCTTAGTTGAAGGATCTTCAATTCCAGAGCTGGAAACAACCCCATCTCAGGTTCATAACAGGACAGGTTCTGAAGATCCAGGAAAAATGAAGCACAAAGCAAAACCAGAGTAGGAAAGGGCTCCTGGTGAGGGCCCCCATGTTGTGAAAGTTGCCTGGGGAGCCCTGCCTGTTGCAATCCAGTATTAGGTGACTGGAAGTGCAAGCTAGGAGCCAGGGCCATAGCACAGAGAAAGCTATGCTGGTCAGGGCAGAGGCTGGTGGACACAAGGCTGACCTAACCATCTTAGGGTGCAAGGGAGGTTCGAGTAGGCTACCTTTTCTGCAGCAGAGCCTGGAAGCCATCCATTCTCTGGGATGCTACCCAACCCAAAATTGCAGGAGTTGGGAAGTGGCTGGCGTGCATGGGGAGGGAAGTAGGGTGGCAGTGCAGAATACCAACCTTTCATTACATAGGCATTTATTGATGGTTTGCTGTGTGCCAGGCCTTGTACCCAGCCCTAGGAGTCTGGAGGTAACCCAGGAGACTAGTAACAGGCCTCTTTAGGAAAAGTTAATCTGCCCCCAACAAGACAAAGCTGCTCTTGCCAGGCCTGGGCTGCCCTCCCTGCTATTCAGCAGGTCTTGATTTCCACAATGGCCATGCTCTCATGCCCAACCAGGTCTGTGCTCTCAGGTTAGTACAGGCCAGGTGTGAGGAGAGCCAGGCACAGTGACAAGCTCATCCCCCTCCCCCAGGTGGAGGGGAGAGGGCTGTATTGGCTCAGGTAGCTGGGCTGGGGAGGAGGCAGGAGGGGAGGGGGCCAGGACGGCTGTTTGGCTTATCAGAGGCTCCTGAGGTTTTCCTGGCTGACTCCAAGGAGTGGCAGACAATCAGTGCATTGTCACCAGGGCTGCATCATGGAGCAGGGGAGCTGCTGTGCAGAGGATCCTAGGCCTGGGCCTATCAGGGTGAGTGCCTCCCATCACCCAGTGCCCTCTCCTGGGACAAAGACCCAGGGCATGCCCTGAGCAGGGGACAAGAGGGCAACACCCATCACCCACACCTCCTCAACCCCTATCTTCCCTGAGCCAGTCTGCTCCAAGCCCCACTGACTGCAGTGTGCCCTCAGGTGAAGACCAGACCCTGCCATGGGGGCTGGAGAGCCCTGGGCCTGCTGCTGCTGTTGCTGGCATTGGCCACTGCTGGGGCTGTAACTGGAGGGCTTTTTGGCTTTGCTCACAGCCCTCCCAAGGTGAGCCTCCTCAGGACCTGGGCAGGCATGCACACTAGAGAGGGGGAGGAAAGGCCAGCACATCCAGCCCTCCAATGAACCCAGGGCTTAGAGCTGAGCTTACAGGGGGAGGACAAAGGAGTGGAGGGGTCAGAAGCCTTGAAGAAGGGCTGGGGAAAGAGGGTGAGGGCAGCCCCAGCCTGTCCAGCTGAGCTCCGGCTTCCCACCCAGCCACTGCTACAGATGCTCCGTCTGACCCTCCCGAGCCCCAGGGTGTACCAGTTCAACCAAACTGCCCAGGTGGACGTGGCCGGGAATGTGGCAACCATCAGGGTCACCCCGACTCAGAGTAACCACAGCTGGGCGGTGCTGTTCGATGGGCAGAGCGTGAGTTGACTGGTGGGGAGGGAGAGGGGGTCACTGCCTAAAGGTGTTCAGACGGACTTTCCTTACCTGCCTGCCTCCCCAGGGCTGTGTCTGTTACCGACCTGCAGAGCACCGGGCCTGCTTCCTCCACCCAATGGAGCCCAGAGATCGCAAGACCCTGCAGCTGCTGGTGAACACCTCAAAGGTGAGCAGCCTCCATACTCGCATGGTCAGGCTTTCCAGGCCAGGGGCCAGACAAAGGGTCCTGTGTACCGCCTGGGCCCGGGGTGGGCTGGGGCTCTGGTTTCAGGGGAACAGAAGCTCTATCTTCCCTTTGCTGAGACTGCTGACAAGAACTGAGGGCGTGGCTGGCACAGTGCTGGCATGTCCAGAGATTCATGGGCCCTGCCCAGCCAAAGGCAGTGCAAGTATCCCTGGCCCAAGGCCCACCAGAGCCTTCTCTGCAGACCCAGGGGTCTAACAGCCCCAGCCAGGAGACCCACTATGCTCAGGAGCTGCTGGCCGTGCTTGGGAGCCATGAGGTGGACCCTGCCCAAGTGGGGGCTTCAGTGCGGCACTTTTGCTCAAAGATCCCCATTTACTGGGCCCGTCGAGCAGAGGGTGAGTCGGGGCAGCTATGGGGAGAGGCCTGGGCTCCCATGGACATCCTGGGAGAGGGAGAGGAACTCTTTTGGGGTTCATTAAGGCCCTTCCCCACAGGGCCCCGGAGGCAGCGGCTGATCTATCTATGCATCGACATCTGCTTCCCAAGCAACATCTGTGTGTCAGTCTGCTTTTATTACCTCCCAGACTGAACCCCCAGCCCCACCAGCCAGCCAGCTGGACGGCCCTGTCATCAGTACCATGGAAGGCAGCCACCAGCAGGGGCTAATAAACCCCTCCACCTGGCCGTGATGGTGTTTTCTGTGGTCTCGGGACATGTAATGGGTGGGGAGAGGGGAAAAGCACTGGCTTGGGGGTGGGCAGCAGCCAGGCTGCTTGGGTCAGCCTCCTGAGCCCTGTCACATCCAGATAAGCAACCAGGGACTAAAAGAGCCCTCAGCAGACCAGCTTGGCCCATCTAGGCTGGCCAAGGGGGCCAGGGCAGTCAGTCAGGTCCAGCTAGCCTAAGCTGGTAGAGGCTAGCCCGAGGAAGGGTCCGCTCTGACATGGCAGCTGAACAATCACATCAGCCAGTGCTGCCTGGTGGCTGCCTGCAATCCCAGGGGGGCACAGGCTAGCCCAGCACACTGTCATTGAAGGCCAAGCAGACCACGGCTTTCTGGTGGCCGCCGTATTCTCTCTTGATCTCTCCCGTCTCCACACACCAAAGCCGGGCCAGGTTGTCAGAGGAAGCTGTGGGGAGGGAGGACATGGGTAGCAGCTCAGGATTCGGCCCCACACTGGAGGCTGGCTCCCAGGTAGCAGGGAAGCCGCAGCAAGCACCACTGGGCTAGCAAGGCAGGGAGGCAGGGTAGGAGGGACTCACCCGTGACAATGTACTGGGAGTCCCCAGAGAAGGCGCAGCCCCACATCCAGCCTCGGGATGACTCTCCGGGGTTGCTGCTCTTGATGCTTAGCTCCGTCATCAGGGAGAAGTTGGACGTCCTCCAAATCTTGCACGTCTGGTCAGCCGAGCAGGTGGCGAGGAGCCTAGGGGTGGGTATGAGCATGGTGGGTGTGTCATCAGCAGTCACTCCAACCTTGCATCCCCTTGCCATCCACCAAGCAGTCCCAGATCCATCAAGCCCCCAACCCAGACAGGTCCCTTCCTCCCATAGCCATGGAGAACTCCTGGTCCACTGGGCCCTGCACACACGTGGAGTCTGGGCTGAAGCGGCACTGCAGGGCGTAGCGGGTGTGTGCTGGGATCTTGGTCTTGGGGATGAGCTGTGTCACCTCATCGCCAATGCCCCCCGTCAGATTCCAGACATAGCAGTTCCCCTGCGGGGTAGGAGGAAAGTCATGAGGGGACCAGAACCTCCAGTCTGACACATGGGGATGGATGCCCTAGCAGGTAGACTGAGATCCAGGGGCTGCCATCCAACACTGTGGCTGTGCACAGGGGGTCTGGGGGCCAGGGACATGTTGCAGACACATCAAGTCCTGCCTGCAGAGAGCACCTGGAGGCCTGGCCCCAATCAAGGCCTACACCTGGTGGGCTGAGAGCAAGAGGCTATATCTAGCCTTCCTGATGCTGCTGGCCAACCAGAATGTGAAGAATGAGATGGGCCGTGGTTAGCATGAGTCAATGGTTAGAGCATTGGCCTGCATCCTGAAAGGTCACAGGTTCAACTCTGGTTCAAGGGCACACACCTAGGTTGCAGGTCTGATCCCCGCCCCCAGTCAGGGTGAGTGTGGGAGGCAACCAACTAATGTGTCTCTGTCACATCATGTTTCTCTCTCCTCTTCCTCCAATCCCTCCCCTCACCCCATCCTCCCTGCCTTCTACTTTCTAAAATCAATGGAAAAAATATCCTCATTCCTTGAGTGAGGATTAAAAAAAAAAATGAGATGAGAGGAAGGCACCCACAGTATCTTGAGGCCCTGATAAGGAGCCAGGGTCATCATGGGATTTATGCAGGGAACAATGGGATCAGGCTGGTTCTACTGAAGAATGCCCTGGTGGCAGAAAGAGAATGGATTGGGGTGAGGGAGGTCAGAGGGAGGCCACAGAGAAGGGGAGGCAAGGGAAACTTGGGCCAGGAAATGGGGTAAGTGGGACAGTAAGAGATTCAGGAGATGGGAACTGATGGGGCTACAGCAGGAAACGAGAGGCGGCTTCTTGACTTTGGTGACTGGGTTGGAGCTGGAGGACAGGAGGGGAAAGCAGAACTGGGGGGTAAGGGAGACACCTGCAGGGAATAAAGGAGATAAGGGGCTGGGTGCTGAGTTGGTCTCCCCCACTGCACCCGCCCCAGGACTCACAGTGCTGTTTACTGCTGCCATGTAGCTGGCATCTGGATCAATGTGGGCAGATGTGATGGAGACCTCAGGCTCAGGGATCAACTGCTCATTGTGGTCAGTTTTTAAGTCCCAGATGTGGATAGCGCCGCTCTGGTCACCCACAATGAGTTCTGCCTGGGGTGCAAGGGAGGTGAGATAAGGCAGGATCCCTGCCCCCCAAAGCCCCAGGGTGCCCAGACCTGTGCATACCCCTCACCTGGTTGGGGTGCAGGCACACACAGTTAATGGGTGCATTCACCTGGAAGATCCGCTGACACTGCAGGTTGCGGGACCTTTGGGGTGGGAGACAAATACTGTAGGAGATGCTGTTGGTGCCCCACCCAGATGCCCTTTCCCTGATGCCATTTATCCTGGTCCCTCTGC